TATATATATATATATCAGGCCCTCCTAGCACCATTAGGGTGGGTGGGATCAGCAGCTAAAGGACTGGCCTCGACCAATGTTGTCATTGTGCCTTCTTGGGCCTGCCAAAGTAAACTCAGTCTAATTCATCTCCCACAGATTTATATAGTTATATAAATCTGTATTCATCTCCCACATAGATGTATATTGGCGAAACTAAAATGTCTCCTGGGTAAATTACAGTCTACAATGATAAACATTACTACTAGTAATAATGTAGTCTTCACTTGTTTTCTGAACGTTTGACTGGTGAGACGTATCTCCAACAACGCGGAGCTAAGTTAAAATAGTGATTAACAATGAGTATAAATTACCATCTTTATCGAAATATACCAGTAAGAGATCCTGAAAATATGTTTGTGTTGTTTAGTCTCCTGGGGGGTGGGTGGGAAACACCAACAAAGTGTTCCCGTCTCCCGAGCACTTCCCAAACGGTGCTTCCTGAACCACAAAACAAGCGCTCCCCGACCGGACGAAACCAACACCGTTAGCTCTCAGACAGCATCGGGTCGCTGAGTGAGGAAGGACAACAAACGCAGTTTCGCCGAATTAAACGCTAAAAATCCACCAAATCGTTGTGAGTAATACAAAAATATACAGTCGTATTTAACGAGGATGTTGTCACGTTAGTGATGTCTTGACGAGAAATTATAGCGACGCTGGTCTGTTTTGAAACGAAGCTAAATGGACATATGAGGTAATGACGTCGTGACGGTGGTTAATCGGTGGTAGCAGGTTGACAGCGGACAATAATATCATTTATAACAATTCTTTTTGAATGTACCAAAACATAGAAAAATAATGAGAGTAATCTGATTCTGTTCTTAAACCTTAGCTAGACAGAATCAGCCTATTTTCCTGTTTTCCATTAACCTAAGTGACTATTTTATTGGTTATATAATTAATTATTATGGCTTGTTGACTGATAAATATAAGGATACATCTATTAGTTTGTTTAGCACTTAATATAATAAAAAGTGGGCAAACAATTTGAGATTCTTAATTGTTTATTGATACTTTTTTTCTCTTAAGGTCATGATGGGGAGGTTATACAAGGTGGGGCTTTTGTCTCTTCTCATTTTGTCTCTCCTGAACACTGAACCAACATGGGCTAAAAAAGGTGGCAGCAGTAGTAGCAAGAAAACCTCGTCAACAAAGTCGAGTGGAACGAAGACATCGAGCTCTCAGCCAGGAAACTACCCTCGACAGCCCCAGAACCCCAATCGCAACCCAAACCCGTATCCCCCTGGAGGAAGTTACCCTCACCCAGGAACCGGCAACACCAATCCGGGTGGATATCCCAGGCAAAACCCAAGTTACCCAGGAGCTGGTAGCTACCCAAACCAGAACCCTGGAGGTTACCCGGCAGGTGGATATCCTGCAGGTGGAGGATATCCTAATCAAAACCCAGGGAGAGGTAATTATCCTAATCAATACCCTCCTGCTGGAGGCTACCCAGCAGGAGGCAGCTACCCCAACCAAAATCCAGGCAGAGGAGGATACCCTAACCAGTATCCAGCTGGTGGAGGGTACCCAGCAGGAGGCAGCTACCCCAACCAAAATCCAGGCAGAGGAGGATACCCTAACCAGTATCCAGCAGGTGGAGGGTACCCAGCAGCAGGTGGCTATCCAAATCAATACCCAGGCAGAGGAGGATACCCTAACCAGTATCCAGCAGGTGGAGGGTATCCAGCAGCAGGTGGCTATCCTAACCAGTACCCAGGAGGAGGTGGTTACCCAGTCAGGACTGGAAGTACAGGACAGGGTTGGGGAGCGCCTGCTGCAGGAGGTTACCCCTACAGTGGAGGAGTTGGCGGCTACCCTAACTGGAACCCGAATAATAAGATCCTCAGCCCCAGGTTTGGTGGAGGAGGTTATGGATACGGAGGCTACGGCAGCATGGGTGGGTCCCCTTTCTCTCGCTCTGTACAGAACATGGGATATGCTCCAAAGTCCACAGGTTTTGCCAAGAAAGCTATGCTGGCAGCGGGCGTTGGCGCTGTGGCGGGAATGGCGGTCGGGTACGGACTGGGGCGCTTCCCTCGGCCACACTTCAGCTTCCAAAGCCCACAAGAAGAATATTACTACAACAATTACATGTACCAACGCTACGGCACCAAGTCAACAGATCAGAAAGACTACGGACGGGATTACGTCTACAAGCTGCCCCCACGGGCAGAGACTTATGAGAACTTCATGAAGCGCTGCATGAATAGGACTGACCTCCTGAAAGATCAGGGCTCAACCACTCCCAAAAGTGGCGATGACGCGGAGGATAACGACACGGTCGGTATCGAGGAAATCGGGTACCCAGCCCTAATCGACCAAGTGAAGTCCCGACGTTGTATGGAGGAGTACATGGCCTACTCCGAGCGATTCTTGCAGGAAAAAAAGTTTGAGCCACGAGTTCAGCAGTCACCTAATAGCAGTCCCACGAGCTTCGGGGTGATTCAGCTTCTCACTTCCTGCCTTGTGCTTCTGTCCAGCATGCTCATCCTGCAGTGAGGAAGAAGAGAAGCACTCCTTTTACTGATGTCCTAAATGGATTTCCTCTGCCTCCCGTTATATCTGCATGTTCAGTAAAAGTGTATGTATCTTCACAGTCTAAACATTAACTGTGTGCTTTGACATAATAAAACCAGGTTATGTTGCTGCAGAAAACTGGCAAACAGTAACAGGATTGTTTCATGTTTTTACAATCTTAATAAGTCTGATTTGAAGGGCAACGTTCAATTTAAAATGCTTTATAGACTTATTTTTGTGTTTTATGTAATGCTCTTTGATCATCTTCTTTTCATAATTTAATTTAAATCAACTAAATCTTTTATTTAAGAGTGGGAACTGGATGCTTAGAAAGGTCATTCCAGAAGACCATATTAGATCATAAACTGTTTTTTTTCCACTTGAGATGAAAAAAATCTCTTTTTTTATAAATGGAAAAACACTCTGCATGGTTTGCCTGCATCTTGTTGATAATTTAATGAAGTGGTAGCCATTTTAAAGAAGGGTTTTTAACATTATATACCAAAGATGATTCATAATTATAGTCACAGCATTTTATTATAAGAAGCTTTAGTCACCATAATAGTGTAATAAGTTTTCAAGATAAACGATGAATGTTGAGGATGCCACAGCTGTAGGAAAATAGTTGAAGCAGATTTTTGGTCTCAACGGCCTCCCCAAACCACCCAGACTCAAACATCTTGTGACTATTAAAAGTCCAACCCTGAGGTAGTGTTTCCTGCCTGTTCTAAAAGTATATCTGTTGATAAGACTGGAAGAAAAGGAGCTTTGATTAGCCGAATGTCTAACATACAGCTTTGTAAATAGCTGCAAAGCAACAATATTTGAGAAGAAAGAGAGAGGGAACTCTTTGATCAAAAATGAAAACATAAAAAATATGAATCTTCACAATGATCACTGCAAAACCATAATGAATAAAGTTTGAAACCATCATTTACCTTCCATGCTTCAAACATGTTTTAGGAAATGTGTCGAAACACAAGAGATTATACTAGTGTAAACATTTTGTTTTGCTTTTCTGACTCAAATCACTTTCCCTGAACCCCTGCATGTAAAAACCCCTGATGGAAAAAGAGACGTCGGGTAATCTTGTTGTTGTTTTGTGACAAAAGTTGACAATAATCTGATGCTTGTTTATTAGCTTGTTTTAATTTGCCACTCTTACTGTATTTGTCATTACTGTATTTGCCATTACTGCTGATTTCTTACTGCTGGGTAAGAGTGGCAGATCCTGTATGAAACTCAATCCTTCCTGCTCTGTTGTGATTTTGACAAGGTATCTTCTGATCACTTGTATCTTCCTGCAGCACAGTGAGATAGTCAAAGGTCAGGTTTTGTTGACTTTGTAAATACTTGCTTGTTTTTACTCTAACTTTTTACGCATGGTATATGTACACGGTAACTTTCTTTGTTTTTAATTTAAAAAAAAACCCACAATGATTTTTCGTTCAGTTCCTGTTTAATTTGTTCCTTCTGGCTGTTTTAAACTTCATGTTGAATCCACAAATAGATTAGAATATCTGTAAAGTGCACTTATTTCCCTGCAGAACTGGATATTCTGTAATAAGTGTAGATGTCTGGATGAGTTTTAGTTTTATTTTTTTCCACCTGAGTCACACTTTCTAACAGCTACTGATATGGTTTGTAATGGATGTTTAATAAAATAAAGTCCCACATCATTTCTCTGTCTAATTCATACAATTTTACAGTTAAATTTGAAAATTGTAAAGCTTGTTAAATGTTAAAATAATACAGCATTAAGGCTGCAGTTTACAGTGGGTGGTTTTTAACATGGGACCTTTTTTGTTTACAATTTTGCAGATTTGGACAGGAATTTTATTATCTCGAACTTGTTTTTTACTGTGCCGAAAATTTATTTAGGTGCTTTTTTTAGGTAGACGCTAAGCAGTTTATATTTATAGGAATAGAGTTGAAATGACCAGCAGAAACTTGGTTAAGGTATTAAAAATAATCATAAATATCATAAAAGTTGGCATATTGTCCACATGCATAAAGACACTTAAAGATGATACTGGTCAATTAAATCCATTTTCTGATTTATTTCATTGCCATTTTTGTAATATCTTAATTTAATGCATAGCAATGAGTTTATTTTATCCATTGATAGTAAAATTACTTTTTTATTTATCAGGCATCTGGTGATTTTACTCTTAAAAAGATGCAAAAATCAAAAAGAATATCCCAGCTATTGATAAATTTAGGACAAACCAAAGTGAAGATTGCAATGAACACTGAGAAGGATTGTTCCCAACTTTATTTCACTTTTCCATATTATTGGTTACATTATTTATTGATGATCCAGGTCATTAAAGGAACCACATGTCCAAGAATGAGAAAGATGTTTCCATTAGCCGGGGCAGCTCTACTGAACACTCTCCTCACAGACTGGTTGTATCTTTGGTTTTCCTGGTAATAAGCTTCTTGTTGCCCAGAGGCGGCCGTCTTCCGGCCGTAATGGTTCCCAGTCCGTGTTTTGGCTTCCCGAGGAACCCGAGGCCGTACCCGGTGCCCGTGCCACCCAGCATGCCGGCTGCTGCTGCTCCCGCCCACTTCAGGCCCTGCTTGGAGAGGCCTCGGCCCTGGGAGGGCGACTCTTTGTCGCCGTTGCCTTTCCCACGACCCTTGGAGCTGGCCCCTCGCTTAGCGTGCGCAGCCGGGCACAGAGCCGCCACGAGCAACAGTAAAACCAAGGAGAGAAGCCTCAGCTGGGCGGCCATCCGGAGAGCTGCAAACAGCACAAAACAGGGAGCAAACCTGAAAACATGTTGAACTTTAATGCTGCCGTTACAGGAAAATGACACAGTCGGTGTGAGGGAGACAGGATGAAGAGTGCTGGCAGCGGTTCAAACTGGATTTTGGTTTATTGTTCCAAAGTCACACGGTCACACAAACACAACAGGCATCCAGAACCATCTGTCAACACAAGGATTAGCTGTGGTGCAGATTCCTCCTTTTCAAAATGCTTTTTTATTCACTCTGGTTTTGATCAACAATATAATATTTTCAAATTTCACAGTGCAAGAAACCTGACAAACAACACAGCAACTTATGTACAAACAAAGTTTAGACTTAAAAAGTAAAAGGATTGTTAAAAATTAATTTAAAAAAGCCAATATTGCTAATGTTTTCTAAATTGTGAACCACCTTTCAATAACATCTTTTGATTTTTTATAATAAAGATTTCATTTAAAAACTTTTCTATTCAGACTAAGAAATTTGAGTATAAAATGGACAAGATTAAACATAATTTTGTTTGCGAAATAGATTTCAGCACTCACCTTTGACTGATCCAACAGGAAGGTAACGAAGCTGAAGCAGCAGATCTTGGTCTGACCACTTCCAGAGCAGCAAAGCAGCATGTTACTTTTTATCATCATTTCTATACCTCCATCCAACACCTGCTGTCTCCACCCCTCCAAACAAACCTCTGCTCCCTGCTGCTGGTTCTAGATGTTCCATGAAAGACCAGAACAGCTTCAATGTTTCTGCTGATGGTGAGGTTTCGAATAAATGTTTCCTCCCAATACTGAGAACATTTAAAACCTGGTTCAAATCAGATTACTGTCCACATTAAACCAACTTCTACCTGCTTTAGATTTTTTATTTTAGGGAGAGAAAAAATACACATTTAAATATATTACAGAGTTTTAAATCATCTTATATTGAGAAACAATGGAGTAATAGTAACTTGGTTGTTGTATTTTTACTTCTCTCTGCATGGTGAGTGAACTCACACTCATGGTTAGTAAATGTTTTACTCCTTTCTTCCTATCTTGAACCTGCAGCCTCACGATAAGACTGCAACACTGACCGAGCTGCGGCCATAAACCTAAATATTGTGACACTTCGTGTGATCTTGCAGGATCTGTTAGCACTCAAACTGTAAAGAGGATGACTCTCAGCTACCACCATGGTTTTGCTCAGGATCTGTAAAATTCACTAAAATGTAAGATTTCAGTTGATGCCAAAACTTTGTTTGTTGTACATCCCATAATTACCTTCTGTCGTGTGGCTCATGAGGTATTTTGCAGACAAAATTTATGAAGTTTAAAGCTAAATATTTAGTTTAATGTGCAGCCTTCAGAGTTGTTGCTGAATATGATTCTCAGCTACTATCACAGCAAATCTAAGCCTAGCATCAGTAAAAATGACCAATTTGGAGCCATTTCTATGTGTTTGCTGAGTTTGATAAGCTGTGGCAATTATCTTTGGTTGATTAGTTTATGGTACTAATCCAGATCAGGGTTTGGATCCAGGATTTCTGGCTAAATGTGTCATCTTGAGCTGTCACTGAAACTCAATAGAAGTCATTATAAGTGAAAAACCTCCTAAATTAAAATAATTTTTTTAATTTGAATGAAATATCAGAAAAGTGATGCAAAAGAAAAGGAACAACAGATACAGCTTGTGTGAAGAATCTGTTTTGTGTTTCTGGGTTTAAAAGGAGCTTTTTTAAGGACGATCTGTGGACAGTTAGGACTTTGTTGAGCTAAACTTCAGTAAAACAGTGAGTCATGCTGGTAAACAGCTGCAGGATTTCTGTTTTTATCCATTGTCGTGCAAACAGAGACAAGTCACAGTTTTTCAAAATTTGTTGTGCTCAAATTGAAAAAACTGGGTTTATTTAGTTTATTATCATAACAGAAGATGTTGCAAATACAATTTTATTAATGAGGGAAGAATAAACACTTTCCTCATCTGAGTTAGGATAAAACCCACCAATCAATATAAAAGGCATTGCAGGTCAGTGATTTTTATGTTTTCAGTTTTTAGTTCGACATGACATTGACAGTTCATAGCACACTTTTGTTCCCTTTAACTTCTTCAAATTTCATTTTCATTTTTAATTTCAGGGAAACACTCCTGCTCATCCAGCAGTGGTAACACTTATTTAAATTTATTTTTACGTGCAGAAATGAAAGTTTAACTTTTCATGCACTAAAAGATAAAAAAAAACATTTGTAGGAAAGGTAATTTGAATTGGAGTGGATGCTGCACATTTCTACACATTTCCAGTTTGGAAAAACAATAGTGTTCACTTGTTTTCACTGTATAAACATGTGTCCTTTTGTCTTTTGTGGCCTAAAATGTCCTCTTGATTGATATTCAGGCCCGCAGGTTTGGAGCTGGAAGCATTAAAAGATGTTATTGATCCAGTTTTCTTTGTAAAAACTAGATGACGTTCTCAAAGAGCTGCATGGAAGCCATTATGTTTTCATCCTGCCAAGAATAAAAAACAAACAAGGAAACAATAAGAAACAACTCAATCGCCCAATTACTGTTTTGTAAATGTTCTCAGTTGGATGAGGAATTTACCTTTTGGCAGGTTTCTATGAATTCATCGATTGTCACGACTCCATCCCTGTTTCGATCCATTTTCTGAACATTAAAGCACAAATTTTCACATGTATTACTTTTAAAGATGAAAAAGATGAAAGTTTATGAGCTAACCAAGTTAATGTAAACATAATAACCCACAGGACATTCTTTCCTGGACCAAAGAGATTAAGAAGCAATGCCCTAAACCAGAGGTTCTCAAACTTTTTGTCTTCTGACCCACAAAATTTTCATGGCAAAAACTTGTGACCCCAAATGTTACTGGTCTGAGTACACGAACTCTGTTAATAACCCTAAAAACACAGGCTTTTTGTCAATCTAAACAGCTTGTACACAAATACAAACACTTATTTTTACTTATTTTGTGTTTTTGTAATAATTATAGGGAAAATATTACATCAGCAATTATTTTATTACCCTTTAAATTGATTTCTGGAGATTATCCAATATCCATAATTGGGTCTCAAGCCCAACTTCTCAAACCAAAGTGCAGTGGTTCCCAAACTTTTCAGCTTTTGACCCACAAAATAACAGCATCAGAGACCTGTGCCCCCAGATATTTTTGGATGAGAAACATTTGTATCAGGTCAATAAACGGGCATAGTAACAATATTTTTTTATACTACATTTATCCATTTTAAACATACTAACCTCACTCCTTTGTAACAACTAAGGTAAAAATGTAATTAATTCATAAAATATTTTCAGGACCCCACCTTGAAGTTTTGGGACCCCACTTTGGGTCCCGACCCCAACTTTGGGAAACACTGCCCTAAACAGTAGGAGTGTGGGGGATGTGTTAGCACCCCCCGATGGATGCCAGGAAAAAAAAAAAACACGTCCAAGTCATCAACATGTATGGAAATACTAGTGCCCAGTCATGGTCCATGAGGGTCACACTATCCTGCAGGTCTTCAGGTTCTGTAGAAGCCCGTTAATCCCTTTTTCCTTCAAATCACGTGTGCCACATGGCATTTCCCTTGTTAAAATAAACCTCAGATGATTATCTTCAGACGCTGACCTCGTTGATTTATGTAGTTTGGTTCTGTGTGTTCAGCGGTATCTAGTTAAAGCTCATGTGCTTCTTGTCTTAGACTAACGGTTGGTGTTGGGGTCAAATTCATTTAAGAGATTTAAGATGAAAAAATAAGCCCAATCTCTACCACCTACCATAACTCAGACTGGTGTTGAATCAGTAAAATGCAAAAATAAAAACCACAGAAATCTGAGGTTTTACCTGAAAGAATTTCTCCACGTGCTCAAAGGGAGAATCGTCTCGTACGCTGGGTAACGTATACCTGCCCATCATGTCATAAATCGATGTCATTATTGCCAACATTTCCTGCGGGAAACAAATACAAACACAGAGTCCATCTGTATGAACAAAGTAACCACTGCCAGTTTTAGTTTCAGAGTTCTTCCCATCAACTGTACCTCCTTAGTAATGTAGCCGTCCTTGTTGATGTCGTACAGGTTAAAAGCCCAACGAAGTTTCTCTGTGACGGAACCTCTGAGCAACACAGACAGTCCTAACACAAAGTCCTGTGGGTGTAGTTTAAATAGGACTTACTTTAACTGATAATAAACCATATATAGTTACAACATTCATGTACTCACTTCAAATCGGATCGAACCATTTCTGTCCATGTCGAAAGCGTTGAACAAGAAATGTGCGTACGTGGTCGCATCTGAAAACACATGTTGAGGAAAGGATAGAAATTTAACAGAAAATGGCATCTACTTTTTTTTTTTACTTAATTACTTCACTTTTCTTATAGACCCTGCATTCATATTATTATTTGTGTTGTGAAGACAGAGGATTTACCTCCTTGTGGGAAAAACTGTGAGTAGATGGATTTGAATGTTTCTTCATCCACCAACCCACTGGGACATTCCTGATGATGGATAAACAGAGAAAGAAACACGTGTAAAAACATATTTGGACATCATAACAAATTCAACCCTTGCAAGCTTTTGAGATTATTAAAATGTATTATTGTTTCATTAATGCTGTATGACATCATTGTAAAAGAGAAAAAAAAGTCATTCTGCAATGCAGACTTGAGAAAAATATCAGCTGTTCAAACACTTAAGAAATCCTCTTCCTGCCCCTGACAGAGCTGACTGTTTTTATACATTTTTGAAGCCTCTGTAAAGCGACTGGAGTTCCTTCCTGGTGAACTGGGTCTGGGCTTGGAGCTGCTCGAGGCCCTCAGGCTGGTGACGCACCATGGAAAGTTCGAGGTCACTGTCATTGCTGTCTGTTAGACAAAAAAACAGAGAACATGGGAGGAAAAAAGGAGGAGGAAAAGAGGGAGGAAACAGCAATAACAAGAAAGGGGAAAAAAAGAAAAAGGAGGACTGGGGAGGACCGCAACATACTGGAAAATCAAAAAGATCACAAATGTAAATAAAAACACCCACCATCTTTACAAAAACCACAGAAATTTAAAGCCAAAGAGTAGAAATTACAGAAGGAAAAGAGGGACAAGGGTGAGAGATACAGCAACATGAGCAGGATGGACAGTTTCAGACATGAACATGACAAAGAAACGAGAGAAAGAGGAAGATGTCAAATTTAATAAAAGAAAAAACAGGCAAAGGCAAAAAACACATAAGAAAGAATATTACAAAAACTATAAAAGGCCATGCTGAATAGTTCGAAAGTTTATAAACCCTTATGTCACATATCACGTCATGTCACCTGTTGTGTCATGTCATGTCATGTCATGTCATATCATGTCAAGTTATTTCATGTCATGTCATGTTGTCATGTCATGTCACCTGTTGTGTCATGTCATGTCATGTCAAGTTATTTCATGTCATGTCATGTCATTGTCATGTCATGTCACCTGTTGTGTCATGTCATGTCATGTCATGTCAAGTTATTTCATGTCATGTCATGTCATGTCATGTCATTGTCATGTCAAGTTATTTCATGTCATGTCATGTCAAGTTATTTCATGTCATGTCATGTCATTGTCATGTCATGTCACCTGTTGTGTCATGTCATGTCATGTCATGTCAAATTATTTCATGTCATGTCATGTCATGTAATGTCATGTCATTTCATGTCACATCACATGTCATGTCATGTCACATATATCACATACGTCACGTCATATTGTGACATGTGATGTGACATTTCATGTCACATCACATGTCATGTCATGTCACATATATCACATACGTCACGTCATATTGATATATGACGTCATATATATTGATATATGATGTCATGTCAAAAATCATGTTATGTTACACATCATGTCATGTCACATATGACATGTCATGTAAAATATATCACATATGTCATGTCATATTGTCATGTCCTGTATCATGTCATGCCACATATGACATCATGTCATGTCACATATCATGTTATGTCACATATGTCATGTCATATTGTCATGTCCTGTATCATGTCATGCCACATATGACATCATGTCATGTCACATATCATGTTATGTCACATATGTCATGCCATGTGATATTACATGTCATGTCATGTCATATATCACATCACAAATCATATCACGATACGACACAAAACTATATGATCAAATATGTTGAGATATAAAGTATTGTACCCTATCATTTTATATATAAAATAGTTTGTATTGTATCATATCATATTAATATTATGATACATAATTTTACCTAAATATTATATATGGTTTTGTATTTTAGTTTCATATCATATACTATATCATATTATATAACATGTATTGTCTCCTATGGTTTCATATCTCAAAGTGGACACCTTCCAGCCTTACAAATGATTATATTTATTTACTCAATTCATTGCGTATTTCCTATAATAAATAAAAGTGTACTTCATAGTAAATAAATATGTGAAGAATTCCAATTTTTATGATTGGCTTTTGCCCTTTAATGGATATGTTTAATCTCATTTCACTTTTGCTGGGCAGTCTATAAAGTGTCACCTAAGTGTCATATTCAGTGTTATTTGCTAACAGCACATAGCTGGGACTTAGAAAAAGTTCACTCTGCTGGCTTTAGAAAGCCAAACTTTACAGGTTTGAATGAATTCAGATTTAAATGAAACACATTTCTTGGAACCACTAGAAAGAAAAAAAATTGACCAATAATTTACTCACCATCTTTACAATTTGTCACAAGAACAGATTTGAACGAGACAAGAGAGAGATGAAATAAAGGAGTGGGAGGGGAAGAAAGAAATGCACATGAATATTAAAAAATAATCAGTTTTATACACATTTTATACACAGTGAGCAGTAAAAAGCATAGACAGTTTTAATATGAACCTGAAGATAAAAAAATAGACTTTTAGGAATAATAAAACCAATTTAATGAGCTCATGAGTTTCACAGAACAACAACAGTAACAAAAAGGTTAGGTTTTATCCTACCTTCCAGAGACAAAGGCTCCCAAATCCCAAACTGTTTGAGGACAACAATAAATAGTCCGACAACGGCAGCAATAGCAAATATTTCCATACCGTCCAAACCCATTACTGACTAAGATATTACCTCGGCAGAAGTTCTTTCAGGTAAAAACAAAGAGAAAACGCTTCAGATGTCCCTCTGATGACTCTGACAGAGCAGCTCCAAACATCACCTGCTGTCTGTCATCTTCTTCATCCATCAGCCGCCTCTAATTCATCAGAGGTATTTGTACTAGCATCAGCAATTATGACTTAAACCGCCGAGCAGCCAAGAAAAAAAAAGAGCGTGAGTGCAAAGCATCCTCAATTAAGCAAACAAGTTTTCCTCCATGTGTTTCAAAGTTATCTCCACTTGCAACCAAGCAGCACCTTTTCACATCCTGCTTCACTATAGATACAGAACTAAAGGAGTTTCTTCACTGCCGGGCTCTGACTGACAGTCAGATTTGTCTGAATCATTTCAACCATGCAAAACTGTAAAACCAGGCATTGATCCACATCTGCTGAGGGCTGGGATACGAGCAGCACTTAGAGCAAATGAGTCTGCTCAGCTCCGTGTTGGGCTGCTCGGATCCCCAGACTTGGTCACCGATGCTTTACACCTACCCAGTCAAATGGTTTTAATCAAGACTGGACTCACTACAAGACTGCTGGTGGAGCAGTGCTTTGTAAAGTTGTGTAGCGGAGGTGGAATGGCTTGCAATGTTGGTCCAGCTGATTTAGAGGGCAGTGAAAGTAAAGAAGAATGTGAGCACAGTTCACATCTGATGAGTCTGCAGAACATAATGGACTCGGTTTAAGTATCGGGCAGCGGAAAGCTAATCAATCATCAAGAGTTAAAATATTAGTCTGGGAACTGGCAGAGAAACGTGCGTTTTTATGAAGAGTGAGAAATTTTTGACGGGTTGGTCAGTCAGCTGATACTTCAGGTAAAAGTATCAGTAGTTTGCCTTTAACAAAATAAACCTTAATATAATCATTTCTTTTGGCACTGATCAGTTCAGTGCTGTCATCCATTAACAATTTTATCATTTTATTGTCTCCAGCCAATAAAGCTAAGGCAAGCATTTGCTGCACACATGTCCTTCCCCTTATATGGTTCAGTGTTTTATTTTCTGCACAAGCTTAGGTACCCTGCAAATTGCTTTATCTTAACTTACAAGCCATACAAATAATGCAGCATTTAATGCACCTTAAGTGCTGATCTGTTATTCATCTCTTAAATACAGACAGCAGGAGTGAGGGGGGCTTTAGCATGCAGAGATGCAGCCTCATCACCAGGATTTAATGACTGCAGAGAGAGAGAGCTACATTACAGCTCAGGAAGTATGATAACCTATAGCTGTCGCAGAACGGAACGTCACGATTTGACTTTGCACAAGTTTTAACTTCCTGTTTGTTTTATTTTTTTTCCATCAAGGAATTTCCTCCCAGAATAGAGCCTGGGCACGATACAAACAAAACAAAAATTAACAGCTTAAGAGTTGAATATTTTAGGGTGGTGTTATTTCAACAGTTCAGTATCCATCCATTATCCTTTAATTGCTTCTTCCTGTCAGGGTCATGAGGGTCACTGGTGCCCATATCCAGCAGTCAGTGTGCGAGGGGTGGGGTACAGGCTGAACAGGGTGTCCATCACAGGGCAATAGAGACAAACAACCATTCACTCTCGCACCTAGGGACAATTTACAGTTACCAGTTAGCCTAACATGCATGTTTTTGTTCAATCCGAGGAAACCGGTGAAAATCCACACATACACGCAGAGAACATGCAAGTTCTACACAGAAAGGGCCCCAGCTGGGATTTGAACTGGCAACCTTCTTGCTGAGAGGTAACAGCTTTACCAACTGAGTTCAATATCATACGGTAAATACAAGCTCACTTTAAAACAGGCCTTTTGGGTTGAACAGATTAAACAAATCTGCAACTTTTGAATGAGGTTCACTTAAAAATTAAAAAGAAAAAAATTGTATAGGTCCTCTGGACGGGTTCTTCTCTGATGAAACGTTTCGTCTCTCCTCCAAGAGACTTCTTCAGTCTGAGAGTTTCAGGCAAAATTCAGGCTTTTAAGCACTGCTTCCATGTGACTGATACTCACATCACATGGCTACCGTTGACATCTAATTAGTTTTCAATGCAGTTTTCACTCATTTACAGGCCAGCGGTCACTCTTTCAGAGATGAGGATGTTCTCATTCTTGATAGAGAGGAACGTTGGTTTGAGAGAGGAGTAAAAGAAGCCATTTTTGTGAAGAAAGACCGTCCATCATTAAACAGAGGTGGAGGCCTCCGTTTTCAGTTGTCCCCCTCCTACAGTGCTGCTATTGCCAGTATCACTCCACCCCCTGTTAACAATAAGTGTTAATTAGGTGTCAACGATAGCCATGTGATGTATCAGTCACATGGAAGCAGGGCTTAAAAGCCTGAATTTTGCCTGAAACTCTCAGACTGAAGAAGTCTCTTGGAGGAGAGACGAAACGTTTCATTAGAGAAGAACCCGTCCAGAAGACCTTTACAATTTTTTTTATTTTTGATTTTTTACCTGGATTACTGAGATGCATCAGGACTTTCACTTAAAAATGTGATTTCAGTTTTTCTGCGCACCGTTACCAACTCTCCTTCATGATTTGGTTGCAGCTCTGACAATAATAACTTTAGATTTTGGTCAAATGGGTGAGCTCTGTTTTAAAACACTTTTCTTGACTGATTTTCTAACCGTGCTGCCTCCTTCCAGCAGAGGGAGCACACACACCTGAACCTCAGGTGCAGGAACATTTACACACCACTAGATGGGAATAAGGTGGTTATAGAGTGGAAGTAATACAATCAAATATTGACATGTTTCTATATCGGTGCACGACAAGAAGCCAGAAGACAAATAGACAAACAAAACAATATCACTTGGAAAACATAGAAGGAAGGTTTTAAAACTTTGATAATTTAGCTTCAGCTGCTGCTGTAAAATAAATCTATTTACTGTCTTTAAAGGCATTTATAGGCTGGCAGCCAAAAAGGTTTAATGTGACGTTTTAGGAAAGAAATGACTTGTTCTGTTTTCAGTCACACATCTGTTACGAATAAACGACAACCAACAAGTCAGAAAAGGAAATTCTATCAACCATTTACTTATTATTCTTTTTTAAATAGCATTTATGCAAGAAATTGATTTGAATAAAGTCACAAAATTTGAAACTGGTAGGGAAAAAAAGTTTGCATACCCGCGTAAAAGGGTTAGCTCAATTGTTTAGATTAATTAAAAAATAAAATAAAATGTGGCAACCAGTTGAAAGCTCTGATCTCTCTCTTTTAAAGTTTTAATTAAACATCTTGTGATGTGTTGTTTATGTGTGTCAAAGAATAAAAAAAAATAGAAATTCAGCGTGTCTTTCAGGAAAAGAATGAGGGAAAAATGAGCTCAGCATTGTAAAAACAGTTCATTTCCCGTCAGAGCTGAACTGGGTGGCAGCGGACAGATGCTGTCGCTGTAAACACTAAAGGAAGATGACAACATTTTAACATAACTTACATGAAATAAAACGTAAAAATATTAAAGATGACTCTGAACTATATTAAATGATGCTGTTTGAAAGAGCTTAACCCAGTTGTTTTCAAGATTTACTGATAAGCAAATCTGAAAAGCGGGTCTGCGCCCAGTGTAAAAAAAACACTTGTCTGAATCGGCCTAAAAGCTGCAGACTTGAGTCAAATGATTGACCTACATTAGGCTGGCTGTAAACAAATATGTAGAAATTGAACAAGCTCGGGGAGGAGATATTTAGGTGAAACTAAGTGAGATAATTTACAGCTAAATATGAAAGACTGATTTAAAGACTTTAACCATGAATATGAGAAACATCTTTAATTATGATTTTTTTTCTTTTAACCAGTCTTCATCTACCCTAACTCAATACATTTAGAGGCTTGAATGTGAAAAAGGAAGCAGTTGTTGTAAAATTGATGTGCTCTGCAGCAGATAAGGGCGACACAGTGGAGCAGTGGTGAGGCTGTGCTGTTATTCAGGACATTTATCTGTCTCCTGTTGGGCAGCTACCTGGCCCTTGTTGCGTCGTGCTGGCGATGATCCACTTGACGAGGCAGCACTTCATCAGGGATTTGCGCGTGAGTCGTGGTCTCTGCCACTTGGAGCCCTCCGTCTGTCCTCCTGGGTTTGGGTCTCTGCCGTTGGCATCGGGGATCAGGTCGCCATCCACGGCCTTCTTTTCTGCCTGAAACAGAGAAAGACACTGTCCTCTGAGACAGACAACAGAAGCTCGGAGAAGTTAGTTTCTTGCTTCGTTTTGGATCCTGACATGTATTTAACATATTAACTCAGATCTTTAATCAGCCTTTTCTGTTTGTTTGAAATGAACAGCTTGCTGAGGATCAAGCTGTCGACAGCGCAGAGGAAAAACTTCAGCACGGGGAGCATCTCGGTCCCCATTCGCACCCTGTTTGAATTTGGAGAGCGTGCAGCAACCAGAATGTTGCTCAATAATTCACACTTTTTAAAACGACATCAATAAAAGATCTGAGTTCCAGCTGCCACACTGAGGCATTCAATGACCCTCCCTCCATCTGTGTGAACCGTGGCTGAGTGATACTTTAGAAACTGTCCAAGTGCACAGGAAAGGTACCAGATAGGCACCTGTGCAAACAACCATTCACACAATTAGTCGTCAATTCATTATGCATGCAAAACAGTCTGATAAAACTATGATTTTGCAGCTACTTCCTGAAAAGCTTTCAATGCGACAAACCAAATATAATTTGAATTTGTTGCAACATTAACAGAAGAAGACACGAGCTGTTTACCGCGATGCAGACGTGAACTCTGCAGGAAACCGACCTCCGCTTATCTTCACATATGTTACTGTTTTTGCAGACATGCCACCACTGCTGTGCTAACTGTCCAAACACAATCAGTGGTGTTCTTACATTCTGTCAGATATGCATTGTTTCCAATTGTTTTATTATCATTTTCCTGCACATCACTGCTTTATCTTTACTGACTGGAATTCATTTAAACAAAGCAACCAGGATCCTATGCATGTTTTGCTGTAATCTTTTAAATTTTATTCAAATTTAAGACACTTGTGCTCAAATTAGATGTATCAGGACGTGTGTTCTTTGCACCACATCTCTCTGGATTCAAGAAAACATTACCGAAGCAGGAATTTCATTTGTAACTTTTTACTTTATTTATTGTGTACAAATGTTTTTCCATATGGATCATCCCCAAATAATAATTGTAATTTCTGGGTTTTGCCTCATAGAATAAATTTAAGAACTTTGTTTCCTGTGGATAACTGAAATAAAATGTTACAAATCTTACCTGAATAACTGGTTGGCTCTTCAGTATACAAATTAAAGCATGGATTAAATAGTGGGTACTTTACCTGCATTGTGTCACTGCTTTGAAGAAAAGTCACTTCAGTCCTCCTCCTGCGCTCCAGAGAAGACCCTCAGAGATCTGCAGCAGCTTTCTGCACAGACAGGAGGATTTATATAAAGGAGGAGCAGAGCTGCTCAGTGTCCTGCGTTCACACGCCCAGCTGAGGATAAACACCACAAAACTGGAATCATCGCAGGCTGGAAGCTCCGACCTGAAGTGTGCAGGGGAGTCGTGACGTTCAGCAGAACATGAGCTGATCTCAACACGAGCAGAGCAGCAGTCAGGCGTTTGCATGCTGACAAATATTATTAGAAGCACGAGACAGAGTCTAACCTGTGGAGGTGTGCCAGTCCAGACTCAGACAGCGTGGATCTCTGAGGAAATTAAAGAGGATCCAGGATTAAATCACAGCAAGCCTGAGAGAGTTTGTCTTTAAGTTTCCTCAAAATGAGTTTTATTGTCAACATTACTTTTCAAAACAAACCATAAATTACTCAACATGAAGACAGCTGCAGAACTGTAACAAATATTTGAAGCTTTACAGCTGATTTAGAATAAAAAGTTTACTGTGTTGCAGGAAGAGAACATTCCACTGATTCCTTTTCAGGCCAAATGTTCTTAAAGTGGGTCTGCAGTTAAAAGCAACAACAAAAGTGCAGCATTTCACAAAATCCTGGAAAACAATAAAACAATCAAAAGCATTTTTTATTTCACTGAAAATGTGCAACGTTCTCAAGTTTTTTTGTTCATTTGTAGAATTTTCTTAAATTTTAATTCTTAATTCTTGTTTTTTGTGTTTACACGCAGCTTTTTGTTTTAGTTTTTTAAAATTTTTGTTGAGAAAAAGAGTTTTTGAATGCTGATATTTTTGGACTTTTTTGTCATATATACAGAAAATTGTTGTATTTAGTGTCTAAATTTTCTACAATTCTGATCATTTTTTTTGTTTCATTCTTTGAAATAAAACTACATGCTTGTGGTTTCATTGTTGCATTATTTGAAAGCATTATTGCAGTTACTGGTACACCTGTTTCTTTTATACAAATTCACTGTTTAAAATGAGTTTAAATTCAGTCTGTGTGTACAGTATGTACAGTTGGAGTTGTAGTCCGCCAACCTCCTTTTGTTTTTGACATTGGAAAGTGAAATTACATCCCGGTGTCTTCTCAAGGTTTCACGTTTTCTGAAAATGGTAAATGAATACGAGCGCAGGAAGCTTCCAGAAATAAACATGAACTTTTCATCTTTGACTCTGAAAGTGGATTACTGCACAGGCACAGAAAGTTCTGCAGAAATAAAACACATAGAAAGAAGACCAACTTTAAAGCAACAAAACATCTTCCTTGTGTCTAAAGTTTTTTTTTTTGCAAAAATCTGAGGAAATGTGAGAAAAGAAACTAAATCCAGTCAAAAAAACCAATAATTCTGAAATGTTTTTGACTCAGATTCTACAAAATCTCTGCTTTTTTTAAATTCAATTTTAATTTCCATCTGAAAGTAAGTTAATGTTTGATTTGATCACTGGATACATTCAGTTTTCTCTCTCTGTCCTTGCACTTCCTGCAGATTTGTCTCTCTCCTGCAGACACAGGTTATTTTTAGCCTCCAGTTCCTCAGTTGCCTTTACACACGAGCTCTGCATTTAATTGAAGGTGTGTGTTGCTCAGTGCAGATGTGCCCAGTGAATGTATGTGTGTGTGTGTGTGCATGTGTGTGTCTACACAGAGACTTTTCTTTTATTTCCTCTCTGCTCTCATAAATGTTGCATTTTGTTCAGAATTTGTCACCAACACTCACACGCATGGCTTCACACTCACGTAGGAAGAGACATGTGTCCCCTTTTCTTTGTTAAGAGTAATAAGAATCAAATCATTGGATGTAGCTATAACGATGTAAAAGTTCAATTATGTCTAAGCACATTTAAAAATGCTCATACCAAGTGCTGTAAAGCCAAAAAATGGTCAAAAAGAAGAGTAATAAAGCAATTAAAACATACCACGAAATAACAAAAGAAGAAAGCATAACCCAGTCTTATTTAATACAAAGCCGTTCAGAGTTTTGGTGCTGCTCCTGGAGAAGTCCTCATTATTCTGCTCCTTGGTGCATCATGATCTCCTGACTGCAGTGATCTTTAAGGAGTGGTCAAAGTTACAACACTGGAGAGGTGAAAAAGTGCTAACATAGAAATGAATAAAAACAAACAGTAGGATCTTGAATTATCTTCTAGACGGAGGGAAGATCCAGTGCAGAGTTGAGCAATAATATCAGGAGTCTTGCTGCAATGACAAGCCGATAAGAGAAAAGACCAAAATGAAGGCATGGATTCTTTTTCAACGTCAGTGAATTACTAAAAAGATTTAGACTGGGCCCTCAGCTGATACTAACATAAAATATTTTGTCAAATATAAAAAATATATCAAAAAGAACCCCTGGATTTTTCATGTTTTCAATAGGCCAAAATCACCACTGTGGGAGAAGCAAAGCTCAGTGAGTCTTTAAATTATTACTTCTGATCGGTTGGAGCTTTCAAAGATACATGAAAGTCCTCAGCATAGCACTGAAATAATCTGACTTAATGTTTGTTTAAAACTGAACCAAATGGCCGCACAGAGAAACAGTTATTGGACCAAGAAAGGAGCCTTGGGGGACCCCACATGTGATGGGGCTGCTGAAAATAACGAAACTCACCAACAAAACAAAACTGTATGTGCTAACTAACTGATTGGTGTTTTGGGCAGCAATTAGTTTTACTAATATTTCTTTAAGCAGGTAATTTTGCAGGGACAGAGCTTGTGTTATTATGAAGACCTTATTTACCGAACTGCTGTTTCAGAATCATTAATATTGTTGGTGCTAAAGTTCTTATTTTGCCTTCCTCCTCTTCTTCTGTGGTGTCTCTGACAAATAACAGATAAATCTATGGTTTCTGGATTCATATGTTCTTAAAAAGGCAAAACTGCTACTTTGTTTTTGCAGTGTGGTTTTGGAAAAACATATATTGATCTTATTTTTTAAACCCAAGCATGATGCAGCAGACCTCATCGTTGCCCCACCCTCTCAGGTTTTCTACCCATGAGAATGACAAAAATTAAAATAAAAAGACCTTTTAATGATTTAATTAACTCAAAAATGATAATCCCCTCATTATGTTTTATTAGGGACCACTGAAGGTCGTGGGTTAATTACACTGCGTGCCTTTTATTATACTGCTTTCTCTCTGTGGACACCCCCTGTAGAAGAGAAGAGATAAAAGTTTTATACCTCACTGCCTGTCTGCTCCTTCCAGTCACTGCACATCATAACTAATGCAGCACTCACTCCATATGTGACCTGATTTTTGTCTCTTTCTCAGGACGACACTGAAGTGAGCAGCACTATAAAGAAGAAATATACTGTTTATATAAAAACTCATCAGTGGACTTCAGCGGACAACACCACATTATAAAATGTCCTAAAACAACAAATACATGAAAATAACAGCATTTAAGAAAGCAAAACAGAAAAATACTGCACACATGTAAACTTACACAATTTTTTTGTTTAAATATGGTTTTACTGTTAAGCTTTTATTTTATTGTTTTGTCAGACAATAAATATGTTTACTGTTTTATGTACAAGCTTAGTTGAGCTTTTTTTTTAAAAATCTAATATTTTATTTGTAAGAATCAGAAATCTGAGAATAAACCTGAAGCATGTTTGTTTAAAGTAATAAAAAATAAAAATAAAAATCTGTCTAGTTGTCATGATAGATCTTGGATTTAGTTTTCATCTTTGACACTAGATGTCGCTGTTGTTCACAACAACCATGGAGATGTGTAACTCCATTCAAGTCTATGACAATAACCTATCAAACAAGTAGGTGTGTTTGGGTGATTGGATAATTAGACACAAAAAAAAAAAAAAAACAACAACAACAAGCAAAAATAGATTTTTCTATTATGGTGAATAAATATTAAAAATATATATTGTTTTGGTTGAAACTAGAAAGGGCCACATGTGACACCAGAGCCGTGGATTGCAGAGCCCTGCCTTGAAACTTGATTAAACAGAGCTTTAAATGTGCAGAACAGTGTGAAAGAAGAAATCAATGTGAACAATTAACATATCAAATTAAAAATTGTTTTATAAATGTCCATCAGTCACATTTTAAACAGAAACAATACATAAACTTAGCACAAAAAGTAAGGAAATTTATGTTTTAGTAGATTATTTATTTGCTGTAACAATGCTTCTTGATTAATAAATCTTGAATAAATCTTATTTTATTGAAAAGTCAGTTAACTTATATTTTTAATGGTGCCACATTTGTAAGGAACATGCATTTGTGGGATGAGCAGTGGAGCTGAGTATGTGGGTTGTGTACATGAAATAACTGCCAAACATCTTATTTTACTGTTGACTCTTGTTTTGAGCTTCTAGAAACCCAGGTGCTGCCAATCAGGTGCCCGGTTGAAGATTTATTGCCAAGAAAAAACATTGTTACAACAAAGAAACAATCTACCACATAAGTCCTTACTTTTGGGTTAGCTATATTGCTCTTTTACAAAATTATAAGTCCAAATCCTTAGAAGAAAAACATTTTCTGTAAACCCAAGTACTTGTGCAACAAAGTAAAACTATCTGAAATCTTTCACATAAGAGAATAATTTTGAAAAAGTCCCAAGTCAAACAGCCAAAACTGACGTAATGAGACTTTTGTTTTCCTCCTGAAATCTGCAACCATGTTAAATAAGCTCCATCCATCTGGGTTTAGTTTATCAGCCTGATGCAACGTCGGGTAATTCCCATTTCTGCTACATCAGAACTTATTTTGTTGTGTGCTTCAAAACTTTCAGTCACAACAACGACAACTCTCAGCTTACATGTAATCACATAGGATGCCTTTAAGAGTTTTTTTTCTTTTTTCCCCCTCTTCGCTCATCGTCCAGATTTTAATGACTTTGTTTACTTTTTAGTGAGAGCAGCTGCCAAAAAAAGAAGCAGACAATCTGTTTCCTGTGAACGGTTTGTTGCTGCTCTCTGTCTCAAGCACAGAATAGAACAGATTAACATTTTCACGCCTCAGCAGATCTGGGGAAGCAAACCTTCCACAAATACCTCACAAATCAGACGTGCCAAGAGAAAAAAGGGGCGATATTTACAGTCTGCCTCAGTTTCCCGATACTGTGACGTCTGGGGGAGGAAAAGGGGGGCCCACAGAGATTCCCTTCATATCTGTTGTGGAGGCTGAGGCTACTTCTGCACCACCCCCTTTCATTTCCCCAGCAATCAACAGGAAGACTGGAGGCAAAAGATAGAGGCTGCACTCTGCAAGAGAGGAAGGACGCAGACGTCCAGCTGTAGAGTCCGGACAAAGAGAAACATAACAGAGGTGAAGAAATGAGCAATAACCAGAACGAGGTGAAGAAAATCCAGTCAGTTTATCTGCAGAACTTGGAGAAACTGAACCAGGGACTAAAGCCTGAGAAGAAGAACTGGAAACCTAAAGAAGGAGAGTTTGTTGTGCAAACATCAATGGAAAAGCTGCGACTACCTCCCAAAACCGGACAAGTGGCCAAAAGCTCAGCTAACAGGATCAGCAGAGACCTGACCTGCTCCATATGCTTGGATCTCTTCAAGCTGCCTGTGTCTTTGCCCTGCGATCACACCTTCTGCAAAGGCTGCATTGAGGGTTACTGGGCAGGGCCCCGAGGCCCCGGGCAGGGGGGCACGGGCTCCTGCCCCCAGTGCAGGAAGGTGTACCCTGGGCAGAGCTACCGGCCCAACCGCATTGTCGCCAACATCGTGGAGAGCTACTGTCAGGGTCTGGAGGAGAGTGGGAGTGGAGGCTGCCTGTCGGACACCGGGCCAGCGGAGAAGGTCCCGGCTCCGGTGCCCTGCTGCAGCCGGCACAGGGAGGAGCTGAAGCTGTACTGCGAGGAGGACCAGGAGCTGGTGTGCCTGGTGTGCGGCGTCTCCCAGGAACACAGAAACCACACCATGATGTGCGTCCAGGAGGCTGAGCAGAAATACAGGGTGAGTTCAACTCTCAAGTGTCTGCAGAACGCTGTGCATCATTTTCTGCATCGAGGGTAAAGTTTGGATTGCAAAAAGTAAATTTTCTGCACCAGCGTTGAATTTTATGGCATTTCTAGTGCCGTCTATGTTTTGTCTCTCCTGCAGCTCATAAACGTAGTAGTGACTCTGTGTTTAAAGTGAGTCATGGGGGGACAATGATGTTTTGTTTCTGCCTTGGCAGGGCTTTCTAAACAGCTCCATGGATTCCTTGAAAGCTGAGCTCAACACAGCTCTGCAGTGTGACAGGGAAGCTGAGGATGAAGTCAAAAAGCTCAAGGTGAGACGGTTGATAAAACACACCAACACGCGCACCTTTCCGGTCCATGCAACGTTTCGCTCGTCTCCATCCCCGCCTCAGGAGCACACGGCAGACCTGAAGCAGCGCATCGAGGCCCAGTTCAGTGACCTGCACCAGTTCCTGTATCAGGAGGAGAAGCTGCTGCAGGTGAAGCTGAAGACTGAGGAGCGGAGGGAGCTGATCCGCCTGGATGAGCACAAGGCCCTGCTGTGCGTGGAGATCTCCCGTCTGCAGAGGGCCGTGCACGAGATAGAGGACAAACTCAGAGAGCAGGACCCGTTCACTCTGCTCCGGGTCAGTTCAGCTCAGATAAAACTCAAACACAATGTTGCACAGTTAGGGAAAGCTGAGCTCTTCGAGATGTTGACACAAATGAATTGAAGTACATTTGTGCCAACAGACTCCAGAATAACTGAGAAGGGTGTGACTACTTTTGGTTTTCAAGTTTCCAGACTTCTCCTAAAGGTCATAATCATATCAGAATGCATGCATAACACATTAATAACGTCAGCACTGCTGCTTGTTTTCTACTAAACAAAGGACCCTTCCTTTTGGTGAGCTCAGACAGGATGTAGGTTAATAACCTCCTTCCCTCTTCTGGGGAATAGGGACTTCAGCTCAGGCACGTTGCCATTCTTTCTGGCGGGACTTTCCCCCGGCCACAGAAAGATCCCACAGGGTGGGATAGCATACGCTCAGACGTTGAAGTAATGTGGAAAAAGGTTTCACTTCTCTGGAGGAAAAAAAAAAGAGAAGAAAAGAAAAAAACTAATTAACGGTTTGTGTTTGTGTCTCTTCCTCTGTGTTTATTTCTGGGTCTCGTTTTCAGAGCATCAAAGTCCTGCTCCAGAGGTGAGTGTGGGAAACTTTGAACTCCTTGAAAGGATCTGTTGATGTTTGTATGATGTCTTACTGTTTGACTTTGCTTTTGTTGGCAGACCTTCTCTGAAGTTTGAGAAACCGGTGCTCACACCCCCGAGCCTGTGCGAGGGCCGCTTCGCTGGACCTCTGCAGTACAGAGCCTGGAAATCTATGAAGGGAAGCCTTTATCCAGGTATTTGATCCAACACTGACTGCAGAGTTACTAGGATCACATTTGGTAGCAGTACATATGTAGTTATTAGCTTTCTATTCCCAGAGCTCGACTGGTGACAGAAGGAGAGAGGGCTTTTATAGTCAGGGCTCCCAGTTGGTGGAATGCCCTCCATTAAAGATTACTCATTGTTTTCTTTTAGATTTTAAGACTTACTTTTATAATAAGGCTTTTAATGTTTGATAATGTTTTTTGGTTTTTGGTTTTATTTTAATTGATTTGGTATATTTTGTTTCATGATGTCTTTTATGATGTTTAAATTTTATTTTTTTCTATGTAAAGCACTTTGTGACGTTTGTTTAGAAAAGGTGCTGTACAAATAAAGTTATTATTATTATTACTGGATATGTACCAGGTACCAGGTAAGTACAAGCCAGGTATAATGTACCTAGTACATTCCAGGCATGTACCTAGTAAGTATCCAGTACATACCTAAAACCTACCAGGTAAGAATTACGAATGTACTTTTAAGTACCAAGTAGGTACCTGGTATGTACCAGAAATGTACCTATACATACCACATATGAATAATGCACTTACCTGGTAAGTATAAAATACATACCCAATAAATACTAGTTAAGTACCTGGTACATATGTAAGTATAAGTATTAGGTATTTAATACCATGTACATACCCACATAGCAATATGTCTGGCCCAGTTCTGGCCCACATAATGCAATAAAGCTCGGCCCAGATACCACAAAGAATGATGGCCCTTTGGTGGCCCAGATGTGGTTTGCCAGAGGTGGTCCATGCATGGGTTAGCACCACATAAATCAAACTACAACTGGACCAGATGTGGCATTGACAGATTTGGGACACATAAACAAAACAACTGGGCCAGATCTGGCCCACATCCAGTTGACAAACCACTTGCCCAGAAGTCAGCCTAAAGTGCCTGCTTGATACCAGATCTGGCCCACACCTGTCTGCTATGTGGGTATTATGTGTCTGGTGCATACTGTATATGCACCAACCATATACATGATGCATACCAGGTAAGTATCAGGTGCATTATGGGTATTTCTGCCTGGCGTTTACCGTCTGTCTTTGTTTAGTTCCAGCAGCCATCACGTTTAACTCCAGCACAGCCAACCCATGGCTCAGCCTGAGCTCCTCCCTCACCTGCGTCCGCTACCAGAACTTTAACCACACCGTGGAGGACAACCCCGACAGGTTCAATGCCGCCTTGTCGCTTCTCGGAAGCCAGGGCTTCACTCACGGGCGACACTACTGGGAGATCGAGGTCTACAGCAGCACGGTCTGGACAGTAGGGGTGGCCCGGGAGTCGGTGTCCAGGAAAGGAGTCATCAAAGCCCTTCCAACCAATGGCTTCTGGACTCTCTCCCTCTCTTACGGGATTCAATACATGGCGGGTACATCCCCTCCAACTGTACTGTCCCTGGAGGAGCCGCTGGCCCGGATCGGCGTATATCTGGACTACAAGCGGGGCCTGGTTTCCTTTTACAATGCTGAAAGCATGACACACCTGTACACCTTCAGGGAGACCTTCACAGAGACTCTGTTCCCGTACTTCAACCTCGGCTTCCTGGATAAAGTGCATGAAAACGAGCCTCTCAAAGTTTTCCTACCAAAGATTTAAAGACAAAAAAGGAATAGAGTGAACAATTACCAACCCTTCTTGATTTAAAAAACAGAAATATCATTCATACTTTTTCATTGTACAGAACTGTGAAATCAAATCGATTCAAGTGTGTAAAGTATATACAATTTTATATTTATGTATCTCAAAAGATCGAGTTGCTCAGAACCATAACATTTAAAATTTATGAGTTTGTATTTAAATCTTCTGCTACACATTTTGTTTCTGAGAAGCTGTGCTTCATTGAAGAATATACTGTGTAAAATAAAGACATTAAAGAGTATTTCAATCATTTACAGATGAATAATTATCAGAATGGAAAGCAGGAAATATTGCATTTTTGTTTGTTTGTTTATGTCTGTCAGTTAGCAAAATATCTCATGAACAAATTGACAAACTATAATGAAACCCCAACACACACCCTAAAGTAATTATCTTCAGAGTAACCCCATTCAAGATGGCTGCAAAAGCTAACCAACTTTTACTGTATTGGTGCTGATTTTACTTATTTAACTATGTGGTTTTATTGTGTTTTTGTAGAGTTTTTATTTCATGTGTTCAGCACTTTGTTTCAGCAGTGGCTGATGTTACAGCGCTTTATAAATAAAGTTTGATGATGATGATGATGGTGGTGATGATGATGATGATGATGATGATGATGATGATGATGATGATGATGATGATGATGATGATGGTGATGATGATGATGATGATGATGATGAACCAGCTCCACAAAAACAACAAAAAATAATCACTTTTAATTTTAAAATAAAAGTTTAAATGATGTTTTGTTGCAGGGCTATTCACCTGGTGGCCCACAGGCCACATTCGGCCAGTGGGTGACTTTAGTCTGGCCCACCAACAAATTTTTTAAATATGGTTTTTACTTAATTTAATATGAAAACTAACGTTAAATCAATTGTTAACTTTAAATTTTCAATTCAACGTGGGCAGCACAGTGGGTCAGTTTTTGGAGCTGGTGCCTCCCAACAAGAAGGTTGTCGTGTTGAATCCTAACCTTTCTGTGTAGACTTTGTATGTTCTCTCCTTGCATGTGTGGGTTTTCTCTGTGTATTCTGGTTTCCTCCCATTAATCAAAAACATGCTTGTTAGGCTACTTGTTAAATCTAAATTGTCCTAAGGAATGAGTGACAGTGTGAATGTTTGCCTTGTTTATATGTGGTCCTGTGATGGACTTGTGACCTGTCCAGCGTGTACCCTGTCCCTCACACAGTGGCTGCTGGATATGTTAAACCCCAGAAGTCAGGCCCCTGAGCTGTTCGCTCTGTATAACTGTGGCACCCTGAGCAATTTAGTTTAATGACCTTGTTTTACTGATTATATCACATCATCAAAGACCAAGGAGAACACTTTTACTTTTGTTTTCTTTGCCTTTTGTGGGGTGGGGGTGGGGTATTATGTATTTTCCAGGCACATATACTGTACCACAATCAATTTACTATGTTACCTTCAGTTGTTATGAAATCACTGTACATATAAAAAATGGATTTGACTTTGCATCACAGTACCTAAATGCCTTGAAATTGGCCTCTGTCTCTTTAAAGGGATCCCCGATTAGTTGTAACATTAGACTTTATTTGATAAACATATATTTTAACTGCAAAATAAAGACTGTAAAAATACTGTAGACTGTTTAGTTTTGTAGATTTTTAAAAATATATATTTACACGGATGGAGCCATTTTATTTACACACAAAGCATTCTGGGTAAATGATGACGTACTTTACTTGAGTAATTATTTTTCAGCCTACTTTTTACTTCTACTGATTACATTTTTACACAATTATTTGTACTTTCTAATCATTACATTAAAAAAAAGGTAAGAAGTAAAAGTTATTACTCCTATTTCATTATGGCTTGTTGTTGTTAAAAGAAATATTATCCTGAACTGTGTCTACTGAACAGAGCGAATTTAATTGTGGTTGGATGAGAAATATACATTTAAAACATTTTTTACTGTATTAGTTTGTACACAATCCATCACAGCTGCAAATGACTCAAACCGTGTCACAAAGGAGATATTCTGTATGTAGCCTAGTACGAAGATGTCTATGGCATATATACACACAGTGTATATA